CTCCCAAGTTTTAGGAAGAAGTCCGTGATTTAAGCGAGCTGATTGGCCGATTGCGGCACACAGGGATTTGCGCCACGGAGGGATGGACGTTACTTGCTCGACTCGGCTACGAGCCACTCGACCAGAACCTCTCCCCAGTCCCCGTTTGTCGTCTTGATGCCGTATGCGACCGTCTCTCGCTCCCTCTCTTCCCCTCGAATGCAGCATTACCACTGTGATGATGATGATGGCGATGGGCACATGGCTTCGGGGTGCTTTTAGCCGGTGCCACGGATTCGAGAGTATCCCATTGTGATTGGGGTATGCAAGGCGTGCGGGGAAAATGCCTGGCCCTCAGACTTGAAACGCGAGCGCAAGCGGTCAAGCCCGCCTTACCGCATCTGCATCGGCTGTGCTGGACGGCGGGGCGCCTCTTGTCAAAGAAGATCGACATTGTCGCAATGAGGAGCAAGATACCAATGCAGATAGCTATGTGTACGTTATTATGTACACTGGCTGGCCGAGGTCCAAGTCAGCAGCCGGCCGACGCCAGGGATCTGCAAATGTATTTGTGTACATACATGTGTGCTGTGTGTCTATGTACGTGAGCATGTACTGTGTATGTACACTACGCCGGGCAGCCCTGAAGTACTACTATACTAGCAAGACACAGCTCTCAGGCCCCCCTCCCCTCCGTCAGTCAGTCAGTCAGTCAGTCAGTCAGTCTACTGCTACTAGACACTACTAATCGTGCACGACATCTCATCCCGTTCGAGGGCGGCATGCATCTGCATTCGTGACTGAGGCGACGGGTGCCCCGCCTGGGCTTGGAGAGTGTGTGGAGGCTGCACTGCCCCTCATTGCGCGGATTGTATGGGCGGTCCGGCTGGCTACGAGCTGCCAGATGACGTGAGGGCACCCAACGCCCACCACCCGCCGGCACCATCATCCCACGCCAGGGGCCTGGAACTCGCTCGAGGCAGAGGGCAGCAATCAGAAGCACGTTTGCCGCGCATATCGACGTCGGGGTGGGCCGTGGGCAAACAATGGCGAGGCTGTGGCCATCAACCCGAGAGCCCAAGCACAAATGGCTGCCACCCTGATCCGCCGCCCAAAGGCCCGCCGCCGCCGCCGTGTGTCCCGTTGGTGGTTGGTGGTTGGTGGTTAGGGGTTGGGGGTTGGAGGTTGGGGGTGGGTTGGTTGCAGTGCAAAAAGACGGGTCGTCGTGGTTGGCATCAGAGGCGGCGGCCACTCCCCCCAAGCAAGCAAGCAAGCCAGCCACGCCTGAGTTTCTGGCGCGGGATGCTACTAATAGACTACTGCTGAGTATCCAAGCATCTAACAAGTACTTAACTCACGGGGCGACTCTGGTGCATGCACAGGGTTTGCGGGAACCGGAGGGTCCCAGACGTCTACCGGGCACAGGACGCATCCAGCAGCAGCAGAAGCGCAACGTATGCGGAATCCCATCCAGCACTAGCTGCGCGCCACACTGTCCCCTGATGGACCCTGACCTTGACCTTGACCTTGCTTGACCTGCGAAGCCCACCGACGCTCCACATGTGCTTGCTTGTCGACTTGCCCTTTCGGCGCTTCAAGTCTGAACCGTTGGCCAATACTTCCAGACGCTCCAAGCCTGCCCTCAGCCACGACTCGCTACGTGCATAGGCCGTCGAGTGCGCGCTGCTGCTGCTGCTGCTGCTGTGCTGCTGTGCTGCCGCGACCCGCACTACAGCGACTTCCGTCCCTGCCTACCCTACGTTCCGATCCTCCAACACCGTATCCGTCTGACCTCTGTACTGTCTGTCCCCTCTCCTCCAGCGCCTCGCTTCAGGCCTCCAAGGGCATTTGCCCTGTGTACGAATTATCATGTATGTCTGCTGCCTCTCCGTCTGACTACTCCAAGGGGCGAGGGGGCTGCTGCCGCGGCTCTCCCAACCCCAACATCACACCGCCCGCCAAACCCCCACACCAGCTCCCACGACCTGAGCGCTGACCTGCCTGCCAGTGTATTTCTAGTTTTCTACTCAGCATGGCCTACCAAGGCATCGGCGGAGCCAGCGGCCTCAGGTCTCCGCGCGAAGACTCGTCCTTCTTTTCCTTGAATCGCGCCGCTCAGAATGGCGACGGCCGCGCGACCCTGCATCGCCGCTTCACCACCAACAACATCCCGACCCTGAGCACGCCATTGTCCCCAATCGGCCAGCAACGTAGGCAGGCGGCAGAGCCGACCGAATTTACAACTGCGGTATGTCGACATTCTCGTACAAGTATGGGTGAGAGGGGGGGAGGGAGGGGGAATGAGGGAGCTGGTGCTGGCGCTCAAGGGCGCCTCGCATGTTCAAGTTGCGCGGCAGCCACAACCAGCGCGCATAGATTTGGGCTCAAGCCGCAGCAGTGATTTGGTGTTTGGTGTGCATGCTTTTTCAGTCGTGTAAATGTGTGGTAAAGAAGAGTTGGGGCTAACGACCAATCCTGACAGACCTATCATAAGCTCCAAGTGGTAAGTCGACTTCACCGAGCCTTTTGCTGCCTCTCACTTCACACTCTTCTTTCATTTCCCTGGACCCGGCTGGGTGGTTACATCCGCTAAGTTCGTTTGCACCGGTAATCCCCCACGATGTAACATGTGATAAACGCCTTCACCTTGTCTTTCTCTCTCATAAACAAACCCTCACAAGCTAGCCCTGCTAGCGCCACCACTATACGTCTCTTTTGTCGCACACGACTTGTTTTTTTCTCCATCTCTCTGCTATCTCTGTTCTTGCCTGCCTTTACTTTCAACAGTCCTAGGCTCAGAGCGACGCTGTTGCCTTGCGACAAACGTGCTTCTGCCTTCGCCTGACCGGCTGACAACCGACTAGCTCGAGAGGAAAAGAATCGAACACGAGTACCTCAAAGAAGCCAAACGGCGGTTTGACGCCGAAATGGAGCTGCTCAACCTGCAAGCCCAGCACGGCGAAGCTGATACCAATCGCTTCTCCAACGACGCCCAGTACGGCGGGCCGGCCCATAGCCAGCCCACTACGCCGCCGGAATACAGTGAAAGCAATGGCTTTCCATCTGCGCTGTCGCGCCCAAATCGGTTTAGCATGTCTAGCATCACACCAGGTATGATCACTCGTAGTAGCCGCGCCAACTCCCAAGCCACCTCTCCCCCTCCAAACATCAAAGGCAGCGGCCACGACATCAACTATTCGTCTCATTCCATGCCAGGTTCTCGCCGCAACTCTGAGGAGGACCACGACGACTTTGAAAACGACGACTTCACCCCATTGAGTCCAGCGGCCCGCAAGTAAGCTCAACTCTACAGCTCACCTTTACCTCCCAACTCCCACTGACACAATCAAACAGGAACAACCGCATGTCTATGCCTGTGACGAGAATGGATTACGGCAATCGTCCAGACCTTCCAGACCTTTCCTCTGTCTTGGGTCATATTGACACTGCTGGTTTTCTGTTCGGGCAAGATGACAGGACTAATGCTTCCCAAGATCGCAATGGCTTTCTTCAGATGGGCAACACCAAAGACGATTTTCCGGTCTTGGTTCGCCGCGACGGCGCAGGTAATGGTACGAAGCTTTCCGCGTCTTCTGCTGCGCTTGATTTGGCCCTTTCCCAGCCCCCTAGCCCGGACGCCCAGTTTCCAGCCTGGAATGGTTACCGTCATCGTCAGGCTCAACAGTCACTTCCTGCTAACACATTCCGCAAAGCTCCTCAAGTTGACGAATATGAGTCTGCTCGATCCAACGGCAACGGCAACGTTGACACGACGCCTAAGAAAAACTTGACCAACAACCGTCGCTCCGTCGAGTTCAGTTTCGCTAGCCCCACCAATGCTATGCCGAAGCTAACTCAGTCCTACTCAACCAACGATGTTCCGACCTTGAAGAACAGCGCTGGCATGAATGGAACGAATAGTATTGGTTTCACATCTCATGCCCAGCAGCACTTTCACAACCACAACGCTAGCCTTGGCCGTATTCCGCAAAATGCCATCTCGAATCGCAACAGCCGTGACTTATCCATGGCCAGCCGCGAATCTGAATACCAGCCTAGTATCCACGCAAGTGCCGCCCCGTTCGGCCCTTCTGTCGCTTCAGCTGCTCCCAATAGTGGCGCTTCAGCAAACGTCGGCCCGCCAGCAATGTCGCAGTACTCTGGCGCTGCAGCTGCAAACCCTGGCTATTATGGCTATGGCGTATCGATGCTCAACGGCGCCATGAACAACCTCAACCTTGGTCCGGCATCGGGACCTGGGCCCCAGTATGGTGGACCGTCTACGTACACCCCCAACGGCATGTATGGCAGTGGCCCGCAGTACAATCCTTATGCTACTTACGGACCAGGAGGCCGCGTTCAAGACAGCCAGGCTCGCGTCATCCAGAGCCGTCGTCTGCAAAATGATGCGAACAAGTACATGAACTACGACCTGAAGACTATGCCGCGCCAGGAAATCTACAGCTTGTGCAAGGACCAGCACGGATGCCGCTTTCTGCAGAAGAAGCTCGAGGAGCGCAACGCGGAAAACATCCAGATCATCTTTGACGAGACTGCCCCCCATGTCGTTGAGCTCATGACAGATCCCTTTGGCAACTACCTCTGCCAGAAGCTGTTGGAGTTTTGCAACGACGAGCAGCGCAACACTCTTGTGCGCAACGCTGCTCCTGCCATGGTTCAGATTGCGTTTAACCAACACGGCACTCGTGCATTGCAGAAGATGATTGAGTTCATCTCGACCGACGATCAGACACAAATGATCATTCGCGCTTTGTCTGGACAGGTTGTTGATCTCATTCAAGATCTTAACGGTAACCACGTTATACAGAAATGCCTCAACCACCTCAAGTCTCCAGATGCACAGTTCATCTTCGATGCTGTAGGCGAACACTGTATCACTGTTGGCACCCACCGCCACGGCTGCTGCGTCCTGCAGCGTTGCATTGACCATGCCTCTGGCTTCCAGAAAGTCGACCTCATTCGCAAGATTACGGCGCACAGCTTTCATTTGGTCCAGGATCCTTTTGGCAACTATGTTGTTCAGTACATCTTGGACCTCAACGACGCCTCCTTCACGACGCCCATGTGTCAGGGTTTCCAGGGCAAGATTTGCGAGCTATCCAAGCAAAAGTTTAGCTCCAATGTCATTGAAAAGTGCATTCGCTGTGCTGAGCCGCATGTCAAGGGTATGATGATTGAGGAGCTGCTTGATGTTGAGCAACTTGAGCAGCTCATGCGCGACTCGTACGGCAACTACGTTATACAGACTGCACTCGAATTTGCGCCCGCAGAACTGTGCGTCCACCTCATTGAGGCTATGCGTCCTATTCTCCCGTCCATTCGGCAGACTCCATACGGCCGCCGCATCATGAGTAAGGTTGCTGAGCGTGAGAGCCGTCTTGCCGCGTACGCAGGCCGTACTTCTTCTGGACATGCATCTCCTGGTACTGCACAGGGCCCTTCAGAGCCCAGCTCTGCATATGGCCCTCAGTACCAAGCGCCCATGTACACGTCCAGCACCAACTACGGCCCAAGCATTCTCTCCCCGCAGCCGCATCGCCAGCCACACCGCTTGAGCAACGCTTCGGTTCCACACCACATGCACAACGCTGTCCACAACAACAACAGCAACCAAGGCTACCAGCAGCAGCAGCCGCAGCCGCAGCAACAGCCGCAGCCGTACGGTGTGGCACAAGCCAACGGTGGTCACGGTCAGTGGTTCTAGGACGAGAGGAAGACATTGGACGACCTTATGACTTGACGAACCATGGTACGGCCAAAAAGCATTCAAAACGCCTCG